GAAAGAAAGAAAGAGAGATGTTCGCGTACGCTGGTGCTTGGGCGCGCGCCTCGGGCGAGAGCATCATCAGCACCATTGGGGTCCTTTCGCTACTCAACTGATCTTCTGACATTTTGTTACCTTGCACCTATTGCTCCAGCCGCTGAAAAAACCAGCAGCCCTGCAAAAAAGGTTTTTCAAGTGACCCTCACCCCGCGAAGTCATCGGCACCACCATAAAAATGCCCGCGTGCAGTTCTGAAAAGCCGCAAAACAGTCTTGTAATCTTCATGAAGCCGGTACGCACATTAGAATTGAAAACCCGCACGCACGCAAATCACATAAAGCACGCAGAAAAACCATGAAACATCATGAAACCATCGTAAGTCCTGGAAGCTATACCCAACAGTTCTTTAGTATATTTCCACGGCAAAATCCCGCAAACCCATCGCAGAACTAGCGGAGATAGCCTCCGTGGTTCCGGCATCCAACCCTCATGGACCCGGCCCGCTGGGCACGGGCGTGGAAAATGAGAAACGGGACCCCATCATCAGCGTCATTAGTGGTTGGTTTCTCCATTTTTGGCCTCCCTGTACCCAATAACCTCTATGGAGTCTAGATTCTTCTCAGCCCTACCCCAAGAGGGCCCTGGTCCGTGCTGATGATGCTCATTTTGGAGGTCTTGGGGGACCCCAGTAATCTTTCGAAGATTCGATTCCGGAACGCAAATTTGAGAGCGGTTTCGGAGTGTGGTCCGGGCGGGGCCTTTGGAGAAACGGAGGTCTGATGCTGGCAAATTGAGGCAAAGGCACAGAGGAACAGGGGAGGGAGGGGGCTAGAAGGTGCGCGGCCCGGGTTGCCCTACTAAAGGGACAAATTTGAGGCAGTGGGCTCGGTCTGGGATGGTGGCCTCACAAGGGTTTCACAGGACGCCTCGCCCCGAGCGTGGTCGGCGAATTGGGTTGCATCTTATTCCCTGCTCATCAGATCATTCAGATGGCACCAGACACAGCCAAGTCCATAATTACTCGAAACCATGATTGAGTGTAGGTACGTGTGACCAATGCTAAAGATCCTCTTCCATATCCCTCAAAAGCTATCTTGAACCTACACCTCCAAAGTGCCAGACCTTGTGTTGTGGTAGCACATGCAACTGGCAAAAAGTGGAGACCAAAAATAGTCGCAAAGAGGAAAGGCGGGTGTAGCTGGGTTTGCCTGCTCAGGCTCTGGATTTTGATTGTTTGCAGAAGGAGGAGGTACTGATTTCATGCTCTTAGAGGAGTAGAGGTTTACTAGAGTTTTTCTCTTCATCCTGCTGAGGCTGCCTACTCGTCACGGAGCTTCCGTGCCGCTGAGCATGGCCTGGCAGTGCCCCGAAAAACCTTCAGGATTGGGGAAGCGATTCACTTTTCAGCCTTGCGTCTCCGCCTTAGCCGAGGCAGGTCGTGCGTGCAAGCCATTCATGAAGACTGCCCTGAAAAGTCTGCCAGGGGTGGCCTGACCTGGGCATAGAGAAAGATCCTACGGCCGAGACTATTATTTCCATTTTGGAGACCCTGCGCTCGCAGGAGGCTTGCCTAAAGACCAATCCCTTCCGCTCTTTTCTTCTGTAGCTGCGGATGCCAGGGAAGTCTGAGAATCACAACAGACGAAATGGAGATCGTCTATTCAAAGCTCCAGGCCTGTGCCAGGTTCTTTGAGTAGAATCGCAAATGTCAAATGTCGGTCCACATCCAAGAGTTCAAGTTCGCACGCTGAGAGCACAGGCAAAGCCGCCGAAGCGCGCGGCCGCATGCGTGGCTGCATCCATTGGTCAGGACCGTGATCTGGTCTGGAACTCAATTCTCTGATACTAGTGCAGCACAGTGCTGTGCTTGTGCAATGAACACCGAGGAAGCGTTCATCAAGGAGGCCACATGGGTTTTCATACCCAATCACCCTAAGCTCTTTGGCTGCCTCCAGGGTTATAATCAGGCAGACCATCCTTCGCTGCGGTCTTTTGCGTGCGTTGGCCAGCAGCCTGCAAAAGTCCTGCTTTCAGCTTATCGTGAGCCCAGGCCTCACGGTACCTTCAAAGACTGGCACACCCGCCATGGTTATCAGGGCCATCCGCGCCCATTTGACTTGGTAGAAGGGCAGACTAGACATTGACACTTTGCACTCTGCAGCTACTTTTGAGAGGACCCAGAAAGCCCAACAAGAACATCAAGGCCAATTCTACAGCTTGAGCCAGTCGCGTGGCAAGAATCCAAAAATGCAAGGCAAAATCAGGCAGAAATGGCAGAAGTATATTGGGTTTCAGCGTGAGGTTGGTCCTCCAAGACATGGCTGAGTGTTTGGACGGCTTCTTTGTCTGCATTTTTTGGGGCAACGCAAGCACCAAGTCGCGGAAGCAGCTGGCAGTCCCCGCAGATGCTGAAGGCTTCAGTGGAGGTGCAAGAGATGACATGATGGATTTGATGCGGGAGCTACTTGGTCCAGAATAGCCCTTAGCTAGAGTGTTCGATTAACGTGGTGCAGTGTTGACGGCCGAGGGTCAAGCAGAAGGTTCCAGCTGAATTGAGTGTGCATTTGCCACAATGTTCCTCCGTCCGTTCCTCCTGCGTGAGCACTGATGTGCACCGACATGGACTCTGGACAGGCACTTGGGTAAGCGAGTGGTGGCCAATTATTACTTTGGTAGACAGACCCTCTGGCCGGCGAGTTGGGCAGGCGCCCTTATCACATGCTCAATGCTTTGCCCCCTCGCACAAGCGTGGCTCTTCTGTGACAAGGTGCCAAGCCTAAACGCAAATTTCTCGACTTCTTGGTCGATCTGGGTGTTCAGGCGGCATGCGCGATTCAAATCTAACCTGCAAGACTTTTGCAGCCCGCACAGAAGCGCTTGGACGTGAACGACTACTTGACTGTGCTGGAAGCGGTGGATGAGCAGCCTTTTGGTCCTAGCTAACAATATCATACGCAAGGAATGGCCCCATCACAGGTAACTGCGAGGAATCGCAGCTTTTGCCAGTGCTGCGGAGCTGACCCTTGACACTTAGGCTGGTTCTCATCAAGGAATTTACGACCTCTGTGCAGACTACGACGCCCAAAATCCGTGAGGCAAACGTAAATGGCTTCATCAAGCAGAGGCTTGGCTAATGAGGCAGCCTGACGATGTCACAGGTTGAAGCCTGCCTGGCTAAGGATTTTCCGCGCAGTGTCCCAGAATGTAGAAGCCGAGCTACTTCATGAGTCGCTCCGTGAGGAGGTGGACGAGGAGGACATGTAGACTCAGTTCCCGCTAGCTCCAACTCTCATAAAGCTTTCTGTTTGGTATCTGCATCTCACTTCAGTTCATTGTTCAGGATTCTCAAGCTCGAACAGACATGGAGATGTCCAGCTATCTTGCAACTCGCCCTGCAGCAATACTCCGTCTGGAAACAATATGACATGATTCATGAGTCCGAGGAGACATTCTATCGAGGCGCGAGAGACTTGCGCTTTCTGCAGTCATTAGACGGGTTCCCTGGCAAGACTGTGCGCTTGGGAATCTATCGCTGCTGCCACCACTACAGTGCGACTCCAGCTACTGCTATCGCCCTTGCTGCTGCTGCAGTCGTTCAAGGGAGCGTAGCAGGTGCAAGAAATGCTTTTGTAGACAAGTTGGCTAGGAGGCTTCAAAACTGCACGCTCGGGGAGATCCCGGGTCAATTGGAGTTCCACAACTGGTGATTTTGGTGCATGCAAGTTCACTCAAATCAGGTCCTGGCAACCACTGCGCAAGTACATGTACATAAAGCTGTTCGAGCGGAACGTCGACCTCTCCGAATTCTCAGGCACCAAATGCTGCTGTGGCATAGTGCAAGGCTTTGTGCAGCCTCCTTGTGAAGGTTGGTCGCCGGAAGCACTTCGATGTGTGGGACAGATGCCCAAATTCGACAGCACAAATCGCCGGAACAAACAATATGTCCTCAAGCTGCTGAAGCGATGCGGAATCCGCCCCGCGGCTGTATGCAGCAATGCAGCTTGCTCAAGCCTGCTGCCCAGCTTGGTCCAGGTGCTTGGGAGGAGAAAGATGAAACCTTGAGGAAGTGTGCAGCAGTGCTCCCAGCGGAGGCACGGCTCAAAGATCTCTTGCACACATAGGGTTGCTTTGTAATATCAGGCATTCCAAGCTGGTGAGCAAAGAGGAAAGTGCTTTCCTAATCAAGCTGCCGTCAAACCAGCTTGTGCTTAGCCTAACAAGTATCAGTTGCTCTGGATTGTGTTTGGATTCTAACATCCTTTGGTTTTCCACGGGCGCTTGCTGCAGACATGGGACAGCGAAGCTTAAAGCAAGAATAATGCCGGCTTTTGCAAAGATTTGGCGAATGGAGGCTGCGAGGCAAGAGAAGCAAAGGGAGCTGACCATGCAAATCCTGTCCCATGCCATGGAGCTCGTCTCTGACAAGTTGAGCGAGGCAGGAAGAAGTCGACACTATGGTACACGTTATGACCTATAGTTTATCCCCAGCACTGAGAGTCAGCATCGCGATATCTAACATCACGCTATCCGTTCATGTCTACATGTATTCATTCATCCATCCATCCATCCATCCGTCCGTCCATCCATCCATCCATCCTGCATGCATGCATGCATGCATACTTTGCTCCTGCAGCTCGTTGGCCTTGCGCAGCAGCTGTTGCTTACGGGCACGAAGTCATTGTTGAACCTGACCACCAACGTCTTGCGCTGCAAGTAGGTGACGGCAACTTTGAAAGCATCGGTTGTAGCTTTCGTCAGAGCATTCGCCAGGTTGATGTCCGAGGGGCACACAAGTGAGGTAGCACCTGCCATCATCCCTGAGGGCATTCTGGATCGCAGCGACCTCCACACCAGTACGGCTGTTGGCCACACCCAGCTGTGGGGATTCAGAGCTGCCCACTGCATCGTAGAAGCCCTTGGACTTCATGGATGAGGCCGGCTCAACCGCATTTGTTCGGGTGAGCATTTCTCCACGGAGAATTGGCCACAGCAGCCGAACTCTCCACCCACGATCTTCAGCTCACAAAAACCTTTTCTTTCGATGGGGTGGTGCCTCTGGCTGGACGATCGAGCGAGGATTGGTCACCCCTGCTCTTGTGGCCTGCGTCTCCAAACTGGACGGCTTCCAGATCAACTCCTCCGCTAGTCCGGAAGTTGAACGAGTGGTAGTAGAGGTCTTCCTTCGCTGTATTCTTCATCCCCTTCAGGATGCTGTTGGCCTCCTTGAGGTTTGAGATGCTCGGGCCTGTGAGCGCTGAGGCCGCTATGCCCACACTGGCAGAGTACCGAAAAGATGTCTGAGCAGTTCTCCACTGAGCCTTCATGATGAGGCCATGGCACTGGCTGATCTCCTTGTCCGTCAGTGTGCTCTGGTCCATGGCTGGCCTCCTCAGAGATCTCCACCCGCTGCAGGGAGTTCAAAAACGTCTCCTGGGTCACCCGGATCGAAAAACCTTTCAGTTGCTGGACCTCTAGTCCTGCAAACGTAAAGGAACTTGCCGCCATGGGCTCCAAACGTACCGTACATGGCCTTCAGCTCCTCCCGGATGGCAATCAGCATCATGCAATGAGCCTCACATCCCATCCGATGCCACACAAAAAAAAGTACAACAGCCTCATGACATCATCCTGTTCACATCAACCCATCCATCTAGCACCATGCCACCCTGTCAATCAAACATCAAGCCATAGTATATGGGATTGCATTATCCCCCCATGCCAGAGGATTATGTCCTGGCGCGTCGTCAAGTGCAAAACGTGGGGCTTTAGTTGAACAACGACAAGCCGAAGAGCAATTATCAAGAGATAAGGCACAAAACTTGAAAAACAAAACGATGATGGACAATTTTGCAATAACTAAAGATGAACGGCCTCTCATACAACCCGATTTCGACAACCACCTCCATGAGCTGTCGGGGGCCTGCAGACTGCACGCAAGGAGGGTTGGGTATATGGGGGAGTGAACGCCAAAGGATTACGAAGAACGCCGACGTGAGGAAGTGTGATTCACCTGCTTGCAGGACCCCAAGCGCAGAGCTATCTTCCAGAATTTGGGCGAGGTGCTTGAAAGGCCATGCTGGTGAAAGTGAAGGGCAGATATGGTAAAAACCGTCAGAAGTTCTGTCAACGTAGGCCGACAATTTCGAGAGGGTTGCCATGCGAAATGTGAGGGTTGTGATTCCTGGCTCATGATCTGGTAGCTTCTCCAGATAGACATCCTGATATCAAAGGCTTTTCAAGGTTACACGCAGTGAAATTGCGAAGCTGATCTGAAGAGGCTGCGCGTGGAGCCAGCAGCGGAAATATCCATCCACCAGGCCCAAAGCTCAAGAGCACGCAGGAGATGCAGCTGCATGATATGAGGCCATTGTTCTCCACGTGCAAGAGGGCCAGATGTTTGGAAAAGACTTTCTGGAAACAGACGGAAAGTTGATGCAGCAACTTGGCATCCACACATCGATGGTAGTCCTGACGGTAATTAGCCTTGCTGAGCTTCCGTGCCGCCAAGGATCCCCGAATTCAAGCCTTCGACAGGTGCCTCAGCGCCAGTCGTCAGGAGCAGACCTGCTTCATAGGACGGTCATAACTCCAACTGCTCACTGGTGAGGACCAAGCAGCTCAGCAAGTCGGAGTCGGTGTTCACTGGCGAAAGTCCCGAAAACAATGGTGAGGACCACTGTGCTGACTCAGAGTTTGTAGGCAGTAACCTCCAGCCTGTCACAGGAGAAACAGCTGATATTTGCGTTTCAGGGTGCTGCGCCCCAAGCTCTTCAGCAGGGGCAAAGAGCGCTTGTGAAGGCCATGGTCTCGGACCCTGGGAGAAGCTGTTACGTGGGTTGCACGGGGTGAATCCTACTGAGGCCTTGGTCATGACTGCTGCGCAGAAGCTTCCCCAGGAGCTGAAGCAAGACATTGGGCACACATGCCATATTGCGCCTTAAACAGAACAGAAGGGTCTGCAGGGTGCTTCGATCACCAAACGGCCCGATATCTGAGCCGAATCAAAGCTTGTGCACAGCATGATTTCTGGTTCATTCTGTGCTTACATGTGTTGCTATTTACTGCTGTTCAGTTTGGCCGGTCCCGGTTCAGCGATCTCCCGGCAAAAAGAAGCTTGCCAGGCACGTCACCTTGCGAGTTGGAGTGGGCGATTGCGAATTTGCTTCGAATCGCGATTGATGATGCTATTGGAATTGCGGACGTTCTACAAGACAGTGACGGTGACTCTCCTGCCCTGGTCCTTGCTCCTAGCTGGTGACGAGCAATGAGCGTGCGTGCCAAGTGCGTGAAGGTCCAGATCAAGCTGCAGATGTCCTGCCGAAGCCCTCTTTGGATGTCAGCAGTACTGGCGAGATGGGCCCGAACTCAGAGGACCGGTGCTTGGAAGAACAATTCCTCAGTCCTGTGTCTGAGAAGGAGTTACGCGCATCCCCCCCACCAGCTGCGTGTTTGAGATACAGTGCATCTACTGGATAAGAAATGGGTCCCCCAGGCGTAGGGTACCCTTCATTTCTTAGCCAAGCAGCATTTTCACATTCCTATTATTTCAGAGCCCCAGACGTAGGGTACCCTTCATTTCTTAGCTCATTTCTTATTTTGGGGTTCGAGCCC